TTCTCTTTTGCCACTTCATCAATAACATCAGTTGCCACTTCACCAGTTATCACTTCAGCAATACCAACAACTGCCACTTAACTAACTGCAACATTATCGATTGCTACTTCATCAACAACATCAACTACTATTGAATCAACTGCATTTGCCATATCATCTACAATTGACACTGGATCAACTTCACCTGCCACTTCATCAAAAATGTCACTAGATCAACTTCACCTTCCACTTCATCAACATCAATTACTGTCATTGGATCAACTACACCTGCCATTTCATCACTTTTCACTTCATCAGCAACATCAACACCTGCCACTTCATCAATAATTTCCACTTCATCAACTACACATACCACTTCATCAATAATATCATCAACTATCACACCATCACTTGTCACTTTATCGATTGCCACACCATCAACTGTCACTTCATCAACTCCATTCGTAAAGTATTCATCAATTGCAGCAAAGTCTTCATCAACTACTGCAAGGTCTTTATTATTTGTTGTAATGTTAACATATAATATTTTACTTTGACAAAAAATATAGGAATAAATTACTTGACAGTTTCAATAAATATATACACTAATTTACCTTTTTTCTTGTTTTTTTGGTTTATTCTTTTCAATTCTCCTCAACTTTTCTGCCCTTACATATGCAACGACTTCAACCATTGATTGCTCAAGGTATAAGACACGATCACTCAGATTTTCCAAATTCCCATCATTAGAAGTACTCTGTACATTTTTCTGTCTATTAGAAAGAGAATTCACACAATGTACATTGTGATCACCCAAATGTTCATCACCTTCAATGAGGATTGTCACACTTTTCAATTGGGCCTTCAATACATCGATGATTAGACCTTCACTTCATCCGTATATGGCTTAAATATTTTCATGTAATTCTGTTCCATCTCACAGACAGTAGAGATGAGGTATGGGTGCACAATATAAAAAATCATATAAATATTACACAATATTCACTAATTTAAAATTATTGTTAGATAATAACAAATAAAGGTATACCTTCGTACTTCTCCCCTTATACTTGGATGGATCACCTACAACTACATCTTCGCTCTTTGATGTGTGCCATTTTAGTATACGGAGAATGGGCAGTGGAGTATCCAAGGACTTCCCAGCATACTTTTCAAGATATGAAAAAGCTTCATATATCCAAACCTGAAATCCATATAAAGAACAAACAAATAAATAAAAAAAGGCTATGAAGTACTATACAAATAAATAACAATGTATCATAAATCGACAAAATAGTTTATAATACTTATCAGAAATGCTCAGGAAAAGCCATACAGAGCATAACATGCATTCTGCTTTTCATTATACATTTCCCTTTGCTTCCTCAAATTAATTTGATTATTCAAACAGGCCAATGTTAAACCAAAGGACTCCTTTACCATGCATAATTTTCAAAAAAATTCAAATCATCTTCCATATTAATATGGCTTAAATCCACAATCTTAGACCGATCATGGACAAGCAATATCGAGTGGACGAACCAAACTAAAGAACACTTCACTTTCTGATCCTTATTTAATTTGCTACTACTTATTATCCTCAGCAACTTTGCACCAGTGATGTTTTTGTTCCTTGTCACCTTGAAATGAAAATTCTCATCTTTTAAGAACTTTGTTCAGCTTTGATTCACGGGGGTATGCTGAATAATTCAGCTCCGTAATCAATGCAAATTCTTGTAAGCCAAAACATGCAGGCTTATCGTTCGCACAAAATCATATTTCATGCGATATTTTGTCATTTGTAACACGTCACAACAACATGTAATGGAAAGTTTGTCCATTGAACTTATAATAATCTGGAATGTGCCTCAAATGTCCAAAGCAGGTACCCTTAAATTCATTATAAAGTTTTTCTTAAATCAGAATTTTTTGAAACTCACGATAAACTGTCATTCTTGATCTTACAGTGATCTTTGCTGGAAATGTTTTTAATTCATCTAACCATATCCCTAAGTCATACAACTCATCTGAGATATCTCTTGCATAGATTGGCAAGGATAGAGGATCATCCTCATCTCGACTAGTGTCTCTACTACTCTCCTCGCTATCATTTTCTCCTTCACTACTCTCAACATTATCATTAGCAACATCATCAGTACTGTCTTTGTAGTTATTTATCTTCGCCATTATTTGACTATAATTTTTTTCTTTTTACAAGTTTTCAAAACTTCTTCAACCGTACGTTGCTTACTTCTTAGAGCAACAGAAACATATGGTTTACTACTTCCATTTCTAGTTTTAGCCATTCTTTATAATCTACAAATAAAACATATTTATCGACCACTAATTTTTAATATACATAGAGGAAATCTCCAATAAAACATTCAATATAAATAACAAATTAACATAAATCAACAATGCAATTGACAGAAAACGACAGTAAAGTCGATCAAAGTTTAGTCAATTCAAAATCAATAGGCGAGATAAACATAATTGTTTAAAAAAGCAACCAAATAGAGATCCCAACCAAATAGGGTCAGATATACATATCCAAATGAAAACCTCATGAAATACGGCGAAAAATGAAGAAAAACAGTCTAGAACAAAGAGTGACTAAATCATTACACTACTATAACCAAATAAACAATCAAATATGGCTAAAAATTAACGAAAAATACCATTAAATAAGAATCAACTTACCAAAGATTAAAGCTTTGAACCTGACGTGAGAAAAACAAATCACGATTTGAGGAAGATGATAAGAGAGACACGTAATTTGAGAAAGATGATAAGTGAGAAACGTTTGTTTAAGTTAACTTGGGGGGGGGGGGGGGAGAGAAGTATATGGGGAAGAGTAGTGTATGATTATACTGGAAGAGGGTGTATGGGAAAGATGAAATGAAAAGCGGGATGGGACGTTGCACTTGGAGAAGAAGAAATGTGAGAGGCGCCTTGATTGTAGTGATGTAATAATATTTTATCAGAATATAATATTTTAAAAAATATATTTGAGATTATAATAGATTTTGTAGTGTTATTTTATTTTCCCAAGTATTTAAAACAACAAATAAGTCCTTGACCCACATTGACAAATATACTACTAGTTTTTAAAATGTCAAATAGACCCATGACCCCACACTTTTTCCTTTTTTAAAGTTGAACCCTAAAAGATAATGCAAAAAGAAAATGAGTGGATATAGATTAAATCAAGTTTTAAATCTGTCCCCAATGCCAATTCTTCTCAGGATAGAGCATGTTTCCAATAGATACATTTAAACTATTACTATGAAGATTATTTGCAAATACATTGATGAGCTTCTTGTTCTCTGGGTTCGAGCCCCACGTTGGGCATATGGGATTATTATTTTCATTCTCAAAAAAAGCTTCTTGTTCTCCCTGGACTACACTAATAATATTTTCAAGTTAATGTATTGATCATTTTTTTAGTATCCACTAATTACTTATTTTAAGATTAAAACCTCTCATAATGATTTTGTAAAGGTAAAGAATAGAATTTAGCTTTCTGGGCATTTCAATTGAGTTGGCAGAAAGCTACTTAATTATTGAAAAAGTGGAAACGGGCTTTTCATGATCTTCTTCAGTTAGTCCAACATATTTCTCGCTCAAATCACTTCAATTTAGCAGATTTCTTATGCTTCCCTCCTGTATCAGTTGTTGTCACAGTTGATCTCACATGTTCTAAACCATTTGATTGCATCTCAGTAACACCCACCTTCTAAATGTTGGCCTTCCTTTTATAAATGTCTATAAGGAAAAGGATGAGATTAGTTCTTTATCAAATTAAAATCAATATTATCAAAAAGATTTTTGACATCAAGCCCCATGTCAACTAGGTTGTTGAGTGTAGCATAAGGCAAACCAATAGCAAATGGAGATGAAAACGACATCTCAAATAGATGTTTAAACAATTTGTTAGATGCAGTATCTTTAAGACTCCTGATTTGTTGTGTTTATGGTCTTCTTCATTTACATTTATTATAGAGACCATTAATAGACTCTTTTTGCTACTTGATGAGAAGATATATAGATGAAATTTAAAGTAATATGCAATCTTTCTCTTTGTTGAAATTTTGATGCAGAAATATATTGTAAAGATTTTTGACTTTTGGACCTGCAAAAGCTGAGTCCATGAGAAATCAAACACATGTATCAACTTATATAATGAAAACTTATGAATATACTATTCCAAAGTATATCATAATTGATAAGTCTTGTGGTTGTGGATTGTACAAATTAGGCAAACACAAAATAAAAGCTTATGATATAGCTTTTTGTTTTATGAAGCTGCATATATATTTTAGTAGGTAAACCACCTTCTAAGCTTGGAAAAGAAAAATGATTAGACCCATTTTATAGCTAATTCCTATATAACCTTTTAAAATGAGTAGTTTGATATTATGGATATATTTTGTGAACAAGTATAGCGCATTCTTATCTAATTCCTTTACCTTGCATAGTTATTCAATGAAACTGCATTTGAAGATCAAAGTATTGAAATTCTTCAACATTAATCATATCATCTTGCCTATCTTCTTTGCGCAACCAATGACAAAATTATATACACCATCAGAATAACACCGTTTACTTGATAATCCTGTTCCAAATCACATTGAAACATAGAAACTAGGTTTAAGTAAACCATGTTTCCTTTTATCTCTCAACATAAAGAGTTATAAAATCATGTTTAGGTTTGATCTTGATCTTAATCTAAGTGGAGTTTCTGATAGAATGACTTCAATCTCAAAACATCTGAAGTAAATAATATATACTAAGCAACACTTCAAATATCATAATACATATGACACTAGTTTCAATTGTCACAACAATTTGATTCATACTTTGTAGAGAATTGTCCGTCAAATTATTTACACTAGTGACATTTTTATATGTTACGTTTCATCTTTTGACACATTTTTGTCATTTCAGGTCCTACAATTTGGTGTTTAAAAATTGTTCAGGTAGATTTCAATATGATAGAAGAGTTGCGGAAATTATTTGCGGAGATTATTCTATAGGATTGGTTATATCAGTTCAAAAGATCAAGTTTATTTTTAAGTTGTAACACTAATATTTGAATTATTAATTCATTTTGTTTGTCTAGATCTAATCAAATATATTTTGTTTTATGAATTAATAGTAATATATTTTTAAACATTCAGTAAATTTTTTTGCCACTCGTAGGCCTTATTTTACTAACATCATTGTTGGATTTACTAGTGAAAAAAGTTTGTACTAGAACTGCAAACTTGATCATTTCTAAACAAATGTAGTAGCCATAATTAATAGAAAACAAATAGTTGTTGTTAAACCTAATGACTTCTAACGCCAACTAAATTGAATCCCAGTCATAAAATAGACTCTAAAGGGAAAAATGAATATGTTTCACAAGGAATATTACAATTGCCGCTAAAGATACTGCCAATTAATGTTAATCTTCAGTTGAATATACGTGCCATTAAAATTCATGTTAAATGGATTTAGATGCTTTTAAAAGGGATATTGTAGCCATTCTAATTGTCATAAAAAATTATTGACTTTTATCAACTTAATTTAAGTTAACGGCTATAAAAATGAACGTAAAAAGTATAGTTAGTCGTTGTGAATTGGATTCAGTAGACAAGGGTATTGCTGCTAATAATAGCCGTTAAAAGTGATAATTTTTAGCGGCAATACATTATATTATCTACCAGCTTTTGTGACAATCGCCACAAAAGGCTTTACCGACCCCTGCATCGCTGGCTAAAGACCAATGACTGATAAAGGATATAGTGGTGATTCTTTTGCCACTAATGCAAATTATTATTGCTACTATAAAGCTCTTTTTTGTAGTAGAAGTTTAGAGTAATTTAGGGAGTGAATTTTGTTAGGTTTTGGGAATTAACAAAATGGGGTTGAAGCTGGTAGTTTTAGGACTCAAAAAGCCTTATATAGGGCTTAGGGTAGGAGGCAAACAATGTAGTGTTGGAATAAAACAATTAGTAAAAGACCCTAAAATCCTTTAAAAATAACAACTAGACTTGACTTACGGTTCAAACCTACCGTCTCTACATATTGTACTGGTTAACCGTAGAGAAGTTTAAAAACTATTATTTGGACCAACTTTTAACGGGACACCAACTATAGAAACCAACTTTAACCTTCAAAATTTCATTAACTCTGCGACTCATATGCAATACCTATCTAGGATTCGTACGTAGAACGATGGACTACCCTAGTGAACCTTAAAAAAGTAACTGGACTTATTTGTGAAAATCTAATTTTTTCCTCTTTCTACAGTCCCTAGATAGAACCCGTAGAACCAACAGATTTCGGCCCAAAAAACTCCTTTCTCTCTTTTCCAAAATTTGAGGTGTTACAATTATTTAAGTGAATAATGTCAATTTTGTGAATGAATTCAACCTTATTTAAATATGAATGTCCATTGCTTCAAAATATAATTTTACTATTATGTACAGTAATACCCACTTCTCCACTATATGTTCATTAATTCTTCACCTCCCACTCCTCACCCCACCCCCATAATGTTCACATTTTCAAAATATTTATGTCACATTGAAGACAATCTCATAATAAATTCTTTCGTATTACTCTCTCACTTAACAATAGTTATTCACTATATTAAAATGGTTGTTCAATAATGCTTGTTTAATTTTAAAAATTAAGAGATAATTTAACTTTTGTATATATTTTATCTTTGTTATTAACTACTGTTTTCTCAAATCATTAAATTTAATAATATCACAGAATAATATAATAATATTATTCGTATAATTTATTATTTCTTAACAATGTATGTCGAGTCAAATGGTTAACCACTGTTAAACAGGAGTAGTATTACTTTTGACTTTATTTTATAGCATTTACACATGTTTGTGAATTAATCAAATGGCAAATATAGTATAGAAGTAGAGGCCACAGAATATTTGTAGGACCCAGTCAACGTACATAAAACCACATACAAATATTTCTAATTGTGGGGTTTCCTCATCTCTTTGTTTTCGGGTCGAATTAAATCGACCCAATTTGCTATTGTAATTAAAATATATTGAAATTATTAAAATTAATATATGGAAACAAAAATAAATTTGTCCATGAAAAAATTCTCAGAAAATAGTGGGAAAAAACAACAGAGCTTGTTGACAGGGGTGGTGTTTAACAGAAAACCTTTTAGAGAGAGAAAACAAGAGAGAGAATTTTTTTTTTTCCCTCAACCCTCTTTCAGAGAGATGGTCGAAGAGAGGTTCTTTTTCTGAGATCATCCTGAAAAGGGGCAGTCAAGAAAATTCATTCATTCTTTGATTTTTAATATTTTTTTTCTTCATTTTGTTGAAAAATTTGACGTCATTTTCTTGTGTTTTGCTGACTTTTGGAGTCTCAATTTAAACCTTTGTTTCATCATTACCTACCTGCATTTAATTTTTTTCTTTTGTATATTCTGAAACAAAAGCAGCAACAAAGATTTCATTGACTGCCCTTTTGTCCCTACTTTCTGGTAAATTTATTTTTTTTGTATATCTATGATTTATTTTGTCAGCTAAAGCTTAATTTTGGAAGTTCATTGATCTTGGTTTGCGCAGTTGTCGATGAAAATGGAGGTGTTATAACCTAAATGTAGAAGCACAGAAAATGAGAGACCCTGATTTGGTCATTTGTGTTTTATCATTGCTAGTTGTATAGGTTATAGAATAGATTTGTGTATATAAGAAAATAGCTGATTTTTTCTTTTTATTCTACTTGTAAAATTATCTTGTGTGTCCGAGTGATCTTCATCGCTCGGAGAGCTATTGCATATAAAAAACTGGCGATTTTGTGTGGCATTTTGTATAGAGTCCTGGCTAGTGGCAGATATTATTACTGCCTCAACCACTGCTACACATGGTTCTGCTAGCAATGGGTGGTAGATGGAATACTTATGGATTCAAGTTATCATATCTTGCACTTCTGATCATTCTTTATGACGTTCACGGATGTAGCTCACTCAATTCTGAAGGTAATTCTATTCTATTTTTGGACTGTCCTACTGGTTTTGGTGTTTATATCTTGATTGTATCTAGTGTTTGTTATGTCCATTTGAATAATGGATTGGTCTACTTTGCAAAACAAGGATTGGCATTGTTGGGACTACGATCAAAAGTTGATTGTGATCCATACGGAGTTCTTGCAAACTGGAATCCTGATCATTGTGACCCATGTATGTGGTTTGGAGTACAGTGTCTGGAGGGCAAAGTGCAAATGTTGTAAGTCCCTTGTTACATAGGATCATATCTGTTAATGAGTTTTCGA